TAGTTTTTTTGAGGCACTTTATATACATTATATCACTAGATGCTTACAACCATGTGAGGGTTTATTATCCCATTTATAGATGAGGAAACCAAGACTTGGGTTTAGTGACCTTACTTAGAGCTATGCAGCAGAGTAGAGAATTCAGGTTTGGAGTTGATTCCAGATCTGCAGTCCCCGCCCCCCCCCCCCCATATTGGGCTCAAATTCACAGGCCCTGGATTGAGGGCTAGAAGAGTCTGATTCACCTGTTTTACAGAGTCTTACACATGTTGGGCTCTTAGGAAAGATTGCCGGATAAGTGTCTGATTAGAGTAGCTTTAGGGGACTTTTTCCTGACTAAGTGGTGGAGGATGGCAGGGAAGGGCTAAGTGAGATCTTTGTAGACATCATTTTTCTACTCTTGGACTCCTGGTCTAAGGCAATCTACAGTAATCAAAAAGTATAATTAATTGCCTCTCACTGTCCAAACGGAGATGGTTGCCTTTTCCCCTGAGAAGAAAGCATGAATGACAAAGACTGTTAGGACTTCAAACTCTCTTCCCCTCCCCTTTGCCTCATAAGACCTTTAATAATGTCTGGTCAGATTGCCAGGATTTGGTACATTCTTGCATAGCTCCCACAATGCATACACACATTTACACACATGCATACACACATACACACATGTTACTGCCCCCCATACACACATATACACAATGCACACACACACATATCAGTTGATTGCTGGTAACAAGAAAGCTGGGACCTTTCTGAAAGGATAACTCTCGATCCATGTCCAAGTGCTTAACTATAGCCAGGCGTGATGTCTGGACAGATTGTGTGTGTACAAACATGGGTGTATTTCTTTTAATATTCTGTTTGTCTTGGGATCTCGTTCATGGAAACACAGTGTTCTTGCTGCTGGCAGTGACCAGGCTATCTGAGACATGCATTATCCTTGCTCCACCATCCAAATGGGATCTATGATAAATTGCATGAAACTGTGGTCTTCATGTACTATGTTCCATGGAACCCCAGGATTCCATGAGTCAACCATAGGGATGCCCTAAGAGAAAAGTGTGGTCCTGGTGGATAAGTTTAATGACTCCAGATCCCAGTCCATGTTTACCATCATATTTGGGTAGTTTGGATATTCTATGGGACACAGAAACCAGTGCAAAATTTTCTATCCCAAGGAAATCTTTGAAAACCTCTGGCTTAGAACATGCCACTGGGCTTGCCTAGAATGTCCTCCCCATAAATTCTATATATTGAAATCCTTCCCAGTTCCTAAAATCATATTCTTAAAACTCATATTTGACCTTGTCACCCTGAACTACTCAAAATCTTCAACCTCCCCTCTTTCCTCTTGAACGACATACAGAATCATCAACCTGGCATCTAAAAACTTCCACAACCTAACTTCCACCCACCTTTCCCTTGACTTTCTTGCTGTTTCTCACAATGCCATCCCATCTCCCTTCTAGGTATCTTGCCCAGGAGGTCCTCCATGCTTGGAACACACTTCTTTCTCACGTCCACCTCTTAGTATTCCTAATTTCATCCAAAGTACATCTGAAATCTTACCTCTTACACAAGACCTTCCTTTTCTGATCTGCCCTCTGACTCCCTCCAAGTGCTTTTTTCCCAAATTGCCTAATATTTACTTTGTACATATTTTGCACACACACACACACACACACACACACACACACACATTTCTCTACTGTTACAATGTAAACTTCTTGAGGGCAGGGACTATTTAATGTTTCATCATATTAACAGCACCTAGTATGCTATTTGGAACATAGTAGGCACTTAACAAACATCAATTAATTTATTGATTGAATAACCTGAAGCTATCATCAAATTGTAAAGTAGATATTTTTTGCAACAACAATCTTTTAAGAAAGACACCTCTATATGTATGACAAGAAAAAAGTCATGGAAATAAATTAAATGTTACAGGTAGCATTGATGATTTCAAATATTAAAATTCTATTGAATGAAAAGAAAAGCATGAGGACTAGATTTAGAATTACAAAACCTGATTTTGAGTCTTAACTTTGCCACTAATTACCTGTGTGACCTTGGGCAAAAGGCTTCAACTGTTTGTACCTCAGTCTTTGCATCTGTAAAATGAAAGGATTGGAATATGAGATCTGCTTTCTATCTTTAAGTCCTATGGGCAGTCAATCTGTTGCCCAGGCTTTTCTAGAGGCTTTTCTACTTAGGGTCATGGATTGAGAGCTGAAAGGGACCTCAGAGGCCTTGTAATCCATCTTCCTCCCCCTCCATTTTACAGATGAGAAAACTGAGGCCCAAGAGGATATGTGACATGCTCAAGATCACAGGGGTAGTGAGCATCAGAGGTGGGGAATCTGAACCTAGGACCTGAGCCTATAGAGCCAGTGTTCTCTCTACTTTAGCAGCCTCCCTCCTTGTATCCAATTTCTCCTCTCCAAGTACAGTACTGCCATCTTAGTTCTGGCCCTCATTATCTCTAGTTCAGACTATGGTATTAATGACCTAAGTTGTGTTTCTGCATCTATTTCTCTCTGATCTCCAATATACCCTTTGCACAGCAGCCAAATTAATCCTCTGAAGGCACTGAATTGCCCAGGTCATTCCCCTGTTCAGAAATCTTTGCTGGCTCCCTGTCACCTACGGAATAGAATAGAAGATAACAAGCCTGGCATTCAAAGTGCTCCCCAGCCCGGCTGCGGTCTCCTTTGCTGGTCGTATCTCCTGGTAGGCCCCGTCATAGATTTTGTGTTCCTATAAATATAGGCCACCGTATCTTCCCTGATGACTCGTCCCACCTTCTCCCCACATCCATGCCTCAATGAGGTGGGCTTGGTAGTCGCTTCAGATATTTAAAAGGCTTTGTCAAAGAGGGACTAAAGTTCTTCTGCTTGGCTTCAGAACTGGAAAGAGTGGGTGGAGATTGCAGTGGCACATTTTGTCTTAATGGAAGAAAAAACTGTCCGATGATTAGAGCTGTCCCAAAGTAGAATGGATTATTGTCTCAGGTATAAGAAGGCTTCCCCTCTGCAATAGTCTTTAGGCAAAGCCTGGGTGGTCACTTGTTGAATAGGTCATAGAGAAGACTCTTGTCAGATGGTCAGTGAGGTCACTTCCGATCCTGAGATCCTATGAGTCTCTCCATGTATGTCCTCAGGAGAATTTTAAAACATTGCAAAAAGCAATGGCTCTGGATTCAGATGGCTTGGGTTCAAATCCTGCTTCTGATGCTTATTGCCTATGTGATTTTGAGCAAGATATTCAACCTCTCTGGGCCTCGGTTTTCTCATCTGTAAAATGAGGGGGTTGAATTGGAGCACCTTTGAGGTCCCTTACAGATCTAGGTCTAAGATTTTATGATCCTTATCCTTACCTATTGCGATCTTTTTCTTCCTTCAAGGCTGATCTTAGATTCTATTTCCTTCATTTGGCATTTCCTAATCATTATTATTATTATTAAATTACATGTTATTTTTATTATATATTATTATTAATATATTTACTAATTACTGTTAATTTCCTAATTCCCCCTCAGTTGAAAGGGATCCTTTAAAAATGTTCCTCTTACAAATATTGCAAAGAATGATAGTATTAATTTTTTTAAAGTTTAGAGAACTAGACATATACGTACAAGTTTACACATATATGTACAAGCACAATTCACACATATACATGTTTATGTATGTATATATGACGGTATGTATGCATGTATGTATTTTATAATAATATAATTATATATATTATTAATATATTTACTAATTACTATTAATTTCCTAATCCCCCTCAGCTGAAAGGGATCCTTTAAAAATGTTGCTCTTACAAATGTTGCAAAGAATTACAGAATTAATTTTTTTTGAAATTTAGAGAACTAGACGTATACGTACATAAGTATACGCATATATGTATAAGCACAATTCACACATATACACGTTTGTGTAGATATGTATGTGTATATGTATGACTGTACACATGCATATTTGTGTGAATACATGTAAGCATACATATACATATGCATGTATTTCCTAATTCAAAATTGTTGCGACCATCCATCTTGTCTTATGATAAGAAGGGCCTCGCAGAGTAGGGGGTTCCAGAATGAGAAGGGAACATCGATGTTATCTAAAATGGGGGTCCTTAGCCTCATGTGTCAGGGACCCCTTTGGTAGTTTGATGAAATGTGTGGACTCATTCTCAGAATAATTTTTTTTTAAATTTCATAATGGAAAGAAATACTAAATTTGAGTTAGAGGATAGTGAAAATAAAGATGTGATTTTTTTTCCCATCCAAATTAATGGACCCCCTGAAATCTGTCCAGGGATCCCTTGGACACTGTAGATAAGAACCCCTGGTCTAGAAGAATCACCTCATTTTACAGGCATGGAAATAGAACCCTGGAAAGAGAAGTAATCTGCCCCTGCTGACTTAGCAAAACCAAGAACATGACTCAGGTCAGCTCCCGGAGCCTGTCTAACTGTTGGCAAAACCATGCCATTTGATCGAAGTTCCATGGATTGTATTATGTGTTGTTATTATTATTGTTGTTGTTGTTAGTATAAAGCTTCTGTGATTTCAAAAAGTCTGAAAATCCCTGCACTGTGGCCACTTCCAGTTCTCGGACTCTAAGCCCTCAAAACAGCGAAGCTGTCTTAACGTGTAATGATTGCTATAGTATTGGTCCATGGTGTTCGTTAAGCCCTGAACGTGGAGTCGGAAGAGACCTGGTTCCCAATCTTGCCCCTGACACTGACTAGATGTCTCACCTCAATCAAGTCACTTCAATTTTCTGAGCTTATGCTTCCTCATTTCTAAAATGGGGATAATATCATCTGGTTATTCTGCGTAGAACCCCGTGAGGTAACACAATGTATGTATAGCAGTTTGCAAACCCTAAAATGTCCTGTGAGTAGGCAGTGTTGTTGTTTTCACTGTCACACTTACCTCTGTCTCTGTCTCTCTCTTTGTCCCTGTTTCTGTCCTCTTTCCTGTGGACCTGCAGACTCCAGCGCTGATGCCACCTGCTGAGATGACCCCCCTTTCCAAGCTGCCCTTGGTGCTGCTGCTGCTGCCTCCCATCTTGAGTGGCACCAAAGCTCAGGTTAATCCAGGTAACCCAGACACCCATCATCCTGCCAGATCCAAGGGAACTTCACGGGCAGATAGTATCCCTGAGAGTGTTTTCCTTGGGAGCAGCCCTGGCCCGGGTGTCCAGAGGTCATTAATTTCTTTGCTTCTGTGGTGGGGGCAGACATGGCAAGGGCCAAGACCTGAAATGCTTCCTATAAGTGTACTTAAATGAGCGGTCACTTCCGACATAGAGGGGGCGGGAATTGGAGAAGGGTGGGGCAAAGAGCCAGCCCCCACAGTTTCAACTTCTGGGAAAAGCAGGACGAAAGAACACTTGGCTGCTGCCACAAGGGATGTACTGGGGCTCCCAGGCACCCGTGTGCTATGATGTTGTGTAGAACCTTTGGCTGTCTGGGCCTGGAGATGGTCATGGGGCTCCGGCACAATGTGTCCTGTCCTCCACAAGGCACAGCTGTGCTCAAAAGCAAATATTCATCTGAACAAACAGTTATTCAGACATTCTAGGAGGGAGCACACGGGCATGTCATCAGGTTCTTCAGGCGTGTTGTCTGTTTTTGCCTTTTCTCTGATGCATTTGTGAGAAAACTAAAAAAAAAATTATCTTCCTCTCCCTCTTACCACATCAGCACGGCAAGCCTTGTAAATAGCTCGTCAAAGTAAGGAGCTCATGGAGTGGGCATATCTAGACCCCAAACAAGGAAGAAGTAGGTTTTCCTCCTATGCCTTGCTCTGGCAATGCCTCTTTTATATTGGCACACCATTCATTTTCTTCTTAGATACATAGAATCTAGGCTCAAGGTTGGACAGACTTTGCTATTGTTCAATTGTTCACTTGTGTCTGACCCTATGGATGTTGTCCATGGAGTTCTCTTGGCAAAGATACTGGAGTGGTTTGCCATTTCCTTCTCCAGTGTGTCCCCATTTTACAGGTGAGAAACTGAAGCAAATTGGGGTTAAGTGACTTACCCAGGGTCACACTCATTTGAACTCATGCTTTCCCAACTCCAAATCAGGTATCCATTATACTATATAACATGCCTATACTCTGCCTGACAGGTGGCATTTCAGGAGGTTTTTGGACTTAAAAAGAGGTTTCCACAAAAGAATCAGACAGGGCATGAGTGCATAAAGAATACGCCTTTATGATGCTGTGTTTTAACTCACCCTAAAGAAAGTCCAAAGGCCTACAAGTAAGACATGGGGTTTCAAAGCATGGGGGTCAGGGATAAAAACAGGGTACAACCTGGGAGGCACCTGGGAAGATCATGGGAGTAAATGTCTCCAGATCATAGTAGGAAAAAAGTGGGGGATCACTGATGGTTCTGACAGAAAGATGGCCCTGGGAGTTGGCATACCTAGCTTCATCAGATCATTGTTGCTTGTCCTAATTAATGGGTGATTGAAGCTTTGGCTTTTAGTTTTCCCGTTTCCCCTAAGGCAACGGGATAATGTAGGGAGGGAGAGCTGTGGAGTGCCATAATCAGGCAGTTATCAAACATTTGTTAAATACTTATTACTTGCCAGTAAACTGGCTAAGCATTGAGAATACAGAAAAAGGAAAATAGTCCCTGTCCTCAAGGAGCATATATTCTAACGGCAGTAGTTGCCACAATGGACAGAGTGCTAGACTCGGGATTAGGAAGGCCCAAGTTCAAATCCTGCTTCAGTCACTTCCTGACTCTGTGACCCTTTCTCATTGCTCATCTGTAAAATGGGCAAAATGTTAGCATCTTCCTCACGGGTTATTGTGAGAATATATAAAATATATAAAATGTTTTTGCCAACTTTAAAGTGCTCTACAAACGCTATTTATTATTATCATTGTTACTATTATTGACAACTTGCAAATATCTACATATCTACAGTATTTCTACAGAGTAGAAGGAAAGTAATCTGAGAGAGGAAGGCATGTACTAGCAGCTGGGGAGACCATAGGTAGGGATATGCTAGGAAACAGTTAGCAAGGCGCTGGTTTTAAAGTGTGCATTGTGGAAATTTCCAGAAAAAGGCAGGGCAGCAGTGTTAGAGGGAGGGTGTATGTCTAAAGGAGAAGCAAAAAGCCTTAATGGATCTCAAGGAAGCTAAAAAAAAACCCCACAAGTTTTTTGGATTATTACAGGTTGTCATTTAATCTTTGCTTGAATATCCCCAATGACAGCGAACTCATTACTTAATGAGTTAGCTCCACCTCTTTTCAGACAGATCTGCTTTTAAGAAAGTTTTCATTTCTGAATCAAAATCTACCTGTCTATAAATTATACTCTTTGCTCTTTGGGGTACACCAGAACAATTCTAAAAACAAAATACCCCCTTAAAAATGTCAACCTTTCATGCCCCCCTAAGGCTTCTCTCCTTCAGGTTAAATATTTCCATTTCCTTTGCCTGATCCTCACTTGGCCTGGCCCCTCCCCATCCCCATCCCCTTCCCCCAGCATGCTCCAGCTTGTCATGGCCTTTCCCCAGATCCCTTTTGTCTTTTCTCAGTGGGATGTTTTTACCTCTTCCTTTCTCCTGGCTCCCAAAAAGCCCTGGTCGTACTAATCATGGGCTTTGCTACTGCCATCACAACGCACCTAGCCTTCTGCCTCCATCTGGGGATTCACTTGTGGGACTCCACCCACAGCTGTGCCTGCCCCGAGCTCTGGAGCAGGGATTGTCATTGGGGCCTGGGAGATCAAGCCGTCTGGGCTCTGGGCACATTCATGGGGACTTGTGGGAACTGAGCTGCCACGAGGACATTTATGTGACCAAACCAAGACAGCTGGCAGCTTATGACAGGGTGCTAACCCATGGAACTGGAGCAGAATCCAGTCTGTCCCATGTTTGAAGATGGCAAAGAAAACAGTCTGCACCACCCTCCCCCCACATCATTTTTCCTTTTCCCCCAGTGTCTGATGCTTTCTTTGGCCTCTTCTTGCCAGAGGAAAAGAAATAAAGGCCTTGATTTATGGTAGACTGGTCAGGAACTTGGACTGTTCAAGCCCTTTTGAAGGATTAACCCTCCTCCCTCCGCCATCCCTTCAAATGGACCAGCCCAACTAAAGCAAATCATTTTGCACTGGCTGGTTCCCACACATGCTCAGTGTCAAACTTTCCTATCACAGGGCCCCAAAGCACAACTAATCCATTGCTCAATCACTTAATCTTTCAATCAACAAAACTGCTGACTGAATGTTCCTTGTTGGACACCCCACCTCCCCACCCAGTGCTTGCTTCCTAGGACCTTGGGTTTGGACCCAGTAAGTATAATCCTAGACTGGGATCATAGGATTATAGTTATAGGACTTGGAAGGGATGTTAGTGGAAATCGAGTCCAATACTCTCATTTTAAAGATGAAGAAACCAGGGCACTTGGAGGGTAAGTGACTTGCCAGGTTCATATGGTTAGTAAGCATTGAGGCTTACGTAGGTGGGACCGGAACCTGGATCTTCTTGCACTACAGTACTGGTTATCTGGTTGATTGATAACATCTGTAATATTCTGACTAGCCTTTGCCACTCAGCTAAATGCTTCCCTAGCAGGGAAGAGTTTTGGCTGCCTCGGTTCACCCTAGAAACTCTACAAAATAGATACTAATGGTGGAAGGAAAGATCATTAGATTGGGATCCATTAGATTGGGATACCCTTGCTGTGTGATTTCAATCTTCCTAAAGCACGGGTCTTGACCATGTCAGTCACCCCTCTGTTCAAGAAGCTCAGTGCCCCTGTTCCCCCACCCTATTGCTTCTAGGATAAAATACAAACTCTACTGTTTAGCTTTTAAATTCCTCCGTAATCTGGATTACTGGTTATACATGACATTCCACTTCCCATCTCTGTTCCTTTATACAGGACATACCTTATGCCAGGAATGTACCCTGCCCTCATTTCCATCTCACCTAATTAATTTCTAGCTTTTGATTCTTAGCATCTTTCAAAGCTCAAGTGTCACCTCCTAGAGGCATACCCTAATTCCAACACCATGCCCCAGCCCCAGTGAAAAGGACTGGGAAATGGCTTTCTATCTAATTGGCTTGACATTTTGAGATTATATGTTATTTTTCCTCATAGAATGTAAGATCTTTAAAGGCTGTGACTGTTTTTCCCTTTTTATCTAAAACAGTGCTTAATAAATGTTTAATGAATGGATTACATTGATCTTTCTGTACCTCAGTTTCCTTTCCTATAAAAGGGTTGCAGTGAGTGATTTCTAAGGTCCCATCCAGCTCCATCATTTTATGATCCCATGATTGTGACTCCCAAGAAGGGGCAGCCTGTCCACATTACAAGACCTATAGATTCTCAGTTTGGTTTCATAGTTTCTGAGGCTTCGTGATTGTCTACCTGTTAGGCTAGCATGCTATCCCAATCTTCATGCTGTTTCCTAGATGTGACAGTGTGCAGTCCCCACTTGAGTGGAGAGTGGCCCACAGGTAGCTCATACTGGCTACTCAGTAAATGTTTCTTGATATGAGACTCTGAAATACTTCCTAGTAGTTGACTGTCCCATCAGCCTTTCCCCTGGCCATTGTCCCGGTAAATCCTAGCCTTGCCCTAAGAGGAACACAGTTTCTTTTCCCCTTGCTAAGAGAACATGCCCTTAGGGCTTTGGAAGCACAGACTGATGATATCCCATCAGCCTTGGAAGCCTAACATTAACAGAGAAACGTGCTAGTTTCCTAGCATGAATAGCTTAAGGAATTGAAGGCTGGAGTAGAATTTCTTATTTTACCCGATACCCCTCAAAGGAATGAATCCAGATCTGTATTAGTCAATGTTTAAGTCAGTAAACATTTATTAAGGACCTACTGTGTGCACTTAGTTTTTGGAGAAGAGGAAAAAAGTTTAATGCAAATATGTGAACCACTATGGAGAGAAAATTTAGCTTGTAGAAGCAACAACTAAGGTGGGGGGGTAAGTTCCCATAATAGCTGGTGTTTATTTGGTGCTTTAAGGTTTGCAAAGTGCTTTACATTTATTTTGCTTGATCCCCAAATAGCTCTGTGAGGTTGGTGTTATTGTTATTCCCATTTTACAGAT